TTTTGTCCGCTCGTCTGACATCACCAAATTAGACAAAACCATGAAAAGAAGTCTCAAACACATTACTACGGCCCGCCGTTATGATGTCACACAATACACGTATCACCAGGGGCAAGTTGGCGAATATACCCCGGGTGAAATGTTGACTTTGTTTACAGTTAATAGAAGGCGTGAATACAGTCATGTTCGAATAAACATTAATTCATAAGAATGGAACTAATTTTATTTTATTTTATCCGATAAGACAACAATGTCGGATAAGCGTTTCGATTTTTTTCAGGAAATAATGAAACTGAGAAAAGGTCAAATTGAACCTTTTTAAATGGGTGGTATTCGTAACAATTGATAAGATGAACAAATATACAAGTCGCATAATGCCAAGAAATGTCACTGGCTTAAAAAACTGTAAGACAATTACAAATCAAATGCAAATACCCTTAAGTGAAATCCTAAAGAATGTTTTCCAAACTGCTCTCTTAATCACGATGTCGCAAATTAGCTTTTATTCCTCAATGACAGACAAGAGTCCTTGTATATGCAAATTCTGCCCAAAATGAAATTATTCACAAAGCTCAGCTGTAGCGCTGCGAACCCGTAATTGGCCTTTTTTGAAAGCAGTTAGGGCCCATGCAATGTCTGTACTTCGTTTGATTGATTGGAATTGACCCGCTTTGTGTAATAAGATTGGTTCTGATTACGGCCGGGGCCCATCTTCAAGCCGAGACACTTCAGAGCCACTTGGACCCAAACCTTGATCAGTGGAGTGCCATCCAGTGGATTTTAACGAATTCATTCCACTCCAAATTCCGGCTAGATAATCAGAAATTCAACGAATCAATTGAAACTCCTGATTAAAGGCATCTTAAGATACATTGAAGAATGACACATGAACTTTTGCGTTAAATTTAAGACCAAATTTGATTTGTTTCCGAAAACAAATCATAGGGTATGAATTTTAAACCAAGGACGTTGATTGACGGAAACCCAAGCAGTCTTTGAAGTGTCTATCTAAAGACTATTTATTATACAGCCTTGTGGCTTGCTCTATTGATCGATAAAAATACATAAACCATGACTTGTGTAGGTGACACATTTGACGTTTTATTGGTTTGGTATTTTAGGTAGACTTGCTCGGAGTTTATATTTCTAATTTTCATCCTTGGGTATTTTTAGTAAAATATAATTGTTAAAATTGATACCACCAACGAGAGTATCAAGCTTAATTTTAAGGATTTATCTGTATTTGGATTGTGTTTTCTAGTTTCTATGGTTTGGGGCGCGTATTTAGAATGACACACCCTGTCACAGCAAACCACGGATTACCACAAACTTTGCCATGTGATGGATTTCCATGGTATTATGGTATTTTGGCGAGAATGTCATATCTGCCAAGCGTCCACAGCTCATTTTCTCCAGTTTTCAACATCTAACGATGGTTCACTGGAATAACTCATCACCCTAATTCAAAGAGAATTTTATACTTTATTTTCTCTTTTGGTTACTCTCAATAAACTCCACGCGTTTTCACCTCATTTTACATTTCAGAAATTACTGCTTTGAGATCTGATGTCGGGGTAATCGTCTGGCGAGGGGATTATGGTGTAGTCTTCATATCAATATGATTACCAATATCATAACTAAACAAGTGAGGTCTCTAACTAATCGATCTGTCGACTTGGAAACATCAGTTCTATATTTCAATTTACTTTGGTCTTGCATTGAATTTCTATCTCATTCCTGCATCGTATAATCATCACTCTTTGTGAGAGAGCGACGTTATAGCCGCTGAGCTAAGGGTAGAGTAGATATTGGTCAGTTGAAATTTCGAGCTGAGAGCCCGATTTGAAGGATGGATTCGGGAGAGATGTAGGGCTTTTGAGGGAGTATTGGACCTCCAGTAGTGTCCTTAACATGGTGTAAGTCATCCTTGGTCCAAGGGTATTTCACTTCATTGACTGAATTGAAGTATCAATGAAGGGTGGGTGTAAGTGCCCCTGAACTTTTCCTTCACAGTAACTTCCCCTTAAATAGATTACACCTTACTGAGAGGAATGTACGTGATTTTTATAAAAAAGGAAACTGTTGACCAAAAATCAATATCAAACTTAAGTCTAGCTCGAGACCCTGTGACCCCCCCCCCCCCCACCTACTTGACTTAACAAACATCTCACTTGTGTCGAGGTGCGTAGGGGTTGGGGGTCACACGGGCTTGTAGCTAGACTTATCAAATTTCTACTTGGGGTGTACAGATTAGAGTCACAAGGGCGTGACGCAAGATTAGTAAATCAGGATGGTTCCTTGGTTTTGGTGTCACAATGTTGCAATTTAGTAATAAGATCCGGATTTGGTATTTAACTTTAGCAATACGGTGCCTTAAAGTTACCAGTTCCCCTCCCAAATCCTTCCGCTTTATTGGGCTCTTTTGGTCCCTATGTGTACCAAATATGGCTATTCAAACAGTATTTGTATGGTCCCTAAACATATGTTGACCCACCCGATCCTAAGCCGCATTGAGCCAGAGCGCATACAGACCTTACCAAATGCCCTATACAAGTTCCTGTTCTATTGTCCCCCGTGAGAAAAACGTTAACAATGGTGAAGTTTTAAAATCGAAAATTGAATGGAATAGAATGGACTCAGCAAGGAATGATTTTGACAGACATGTAGTTGATACTCTTAATTGGTAAAGAAATGCCAGAAAATAAGACACTTCATTCAAATTTTGGAGAGAAATGAGTGGAATTGAACACGTCACAATAAAACCTGCCTTGATTTGTCAGCCCCAAACATTACCATTGAAAATCGCGACTGTGATTCAATATTTACGATGTGTCAGCCTCTCCCGATTCTCCCACCGACCAGAATAACTCAAATATATTAGGAAAGTGATATTTTGAACCACACGATCAATACCTTGTACCAACTCAGTACCCAAACAACAACATAAAATGCAACGTCACCCTCAAAGGCCTTTTAAACATCATACGCTACCCGTAATTAATCGCACCAAAGAAAGTATCTTTTTTGCGCAAATTCTTATAAAAAAAGAAAGAACATATATAGCGAGGAATAAAGCGGACAAGCATAGAGTCCCCGCTTTAAATTGTACACAATTCAAATAAACTCACACAATTGACTCAAAATCTAGAGAAAATTGGTAAAACGCTGTTATCTGAATGACTTGATCAAGAGAAGCCTTCTAAGTTGGAGCTATTAATACAAAATAATCTCAAATAATCCTGTCTCAATAATATAGAGGAAATAAGAAACGAAAGTAATTTTCATAATTGAAAGTGCTTTGTTTAGTATTTCAATGAGTTCCTAATAATGCAAAATGCGTTTTATATGTACTTCTCAATACGTTTTGTTTTGTCTTTTCTTATATAAAGAACAGAAGAAATGACACATTCTTTTGTTAATTCCATTTCAGATATATCGTATTAAATCTATATTGTATTATCATGTATTTACCTTTAAATACTATGATATAGTTGTGAAGACATAATGGACCTATAGTATCAATCGCAACAACGTGTTAAACTAACCAAGCTCATTGACCAAGTGTCAGTTTTTCGTTGATAAACAACAATTTTGGTGTTTGAAAAAATGTCAGTATGGTCACGTACCACTTCTTTATATCAAGAATTCGAAAGAATTTGTGCCTCGTGACCCGGCCTCATGAGTGACTAAGTTCGCTTGTAAACGGTGTATAGCCATTACGTCCAGGGGATCGAACCGATGCGAGCCCATTATGTCCGTGTCTTGGACGATGTCAATGACGTCATGACTAAACGCGTCGTTTTACAGAAGTTATTTATGATAATTCATCATGGGGTAACGATCCTTATGATAACTACAGTTTCTGCTTGCTTTCATATGATACAACAGCACATTGCAGAAAGGGTTGATTGAAAAAAATCAACTATTACGAAAGATTGCATCGATTTAGTTTAACTTAAAGAAACGTTATTCTTCCGCAATCTTGGAATATTTTGATGTATGTTACATACGGAAACTGAAGTCATCGTAACGTTACCCCCCCCCCCCTTCCGGTGGACTTGGCGCTTGAATGGACTAAGAACGTGGCAGCGATATAGTCGTCTTAAGAGTCATTGATACCAATTGAATCAATCACGCTACATGTATCGACGACATTGGCAGATATTAATCACTAAAATACAACGTTTAACAATAGAAACTTACCCACAATTGATGTTTAAGGACCATACTGGTTATTAACGTAAGAGGTACTTATTGTCAAAAGATAATACATTTATAGATTTGTACTCTAAATTGATATGACAGGTGCTAAAAAGATAACAGTGTTGTCACTTAAGGCATTGTAAAATAAAACATTTGTTTGTTGTAAGTGACGTGAGAAATATTGTAGATTTATTGTAGATTTATGATTGTAATAACAACTTATATATAATACTTCGATTATTCTCTATTGTTATTTTCAAATATATAATTTCATTCATAATATCAAGTAGAAAAGGAAATTGAGATTAGGCCCAAGTTGAGATGAATGATTATGACCCCCCCCCCACACGTACACATACATACTCAGTCCACTTCTCAAGTCGGCTAATATGGGGCCTTTCATTATGTCGCATTTTACAATAGACAAAAAAGATTTTATTGCCGTTTGAAATCTTTTCGCGTTATTAGTTATATTGTTTACATGGCTTTGGATGGCTGCTCTCTTGGGTTTTTCAGTTTTTCACAGCTGCGAACGCAGTTTTGTTGAAGAATACTAGAATATTTAACTCATGTGGTATTCAGAAAACTGCAAATTGTGCGAGTTGCACAATAGATGGCATACTTGAACGGTCTAGGTCGAGGCTTTAACAGCATAAATATATTCAAAATCGGTCCTCATAGCAAATAATATTCTCCATGTTCAGCTGTTTTTCTTGGTAGGATTTCGGGAAAATGAGCTGAATTTCCTGAAAATCCCATTCCATACAAATACAGAAGATACACTTGAAATGGACAAAATCAATTAAGAAATCTATATTTCAGTACCATTACATTAATAATTGACATTACACATAAAAAGGTATCATTTTCGGGGGTTTGATTTGGAAAATGAGTAAGTAGTCTTCCCACTTTTATCGATAAAAGAAATCGATAATTTACTGGAAGATATCTTAACTCCTATGAACCCATACGCCTCCTTGAAAGCCACTGACTGCACATTCCTGTAGCCGCCCTTCTTGGTTCGTCCCCTCGCCCCACCGGCTCCGCTTACAACAAGATCTGTGCACGAACTGGCGCGTTTGCCGTTCTCACGTAGATGCTCCAAGTTGTGGACATGTCCAGCGAGGTAAACAGCTACTTTGTACTTGTTCAACAATGAGTACACATCTTTGCTCATTCTTGAGTTGACCCCTCCTTCTGGTCCGCTAAAGGCGGGATGATGTCCGCAGACGACAATCCAACTTCCTTTGGGTTTCTTCAATTCGCTCTCCAACCATCTCAATTGGCGGCTGTCCCCTTTGACAAGGGGGGTCGTATCAAGCATGATAAAGTGGACTTTGCCGGAACCGGATCCTTTAGTAAAGCTGTAGTAGTTTTTGGGGAGGTGCCATTTGCTGTTAACCTTACTATAAGCCACCTGGATATTCAAAACGTACTAAACGTACAAATTATTCAAAGTGATAATTTGTGTATCTATAAATGACAACGGAATATTTCATAATTTTTTTTGTTCATAGAATTTATTTTACAAATACATAACATAAACATTATACACTTGTAGTGGCTTTGCTGAAGACATTATCAGCCACTTGGTTAATAATTGCAGGGTGAAGAAAAAAGAAAAATTAAATGGACTCAAGAGTGAAGTGGGTGGTGGCAGGGAAACCTACACATTTGCACATTTTTCTAAAAATGATGCAGTGAGCTTGAGAATTTTCATATTTCATAAATATTGGAGCGACCTTTGTAAATGTAGATTGAGTGTTCTAAAAATTGGATGAAATTTAAATTTAAAGCGGCTTTTTGGGATATCTCGAAACAAAATCAGTTTTCAAAGAGGGACTGAAGGACGGGCGAATGGACAAGAGAACCCCCAGACCTGAACAATGTGGACAGCTGTTCGCTTGATTACCTGATTCTTGGCTTTGCCTCTGTTGTGGTCATGGTTGCCAAGGGTAACGTACCAAGTCTTCTGAAGAGAGCGTTGAGTGTACACCTTCTTCCAGCGATCTTCCCAATATTTGTGTTTGGTATCAGACACACCGCTGTAGAAGTTATCTCCCAGTGTTACAATAAAGTCGCCTGAAAAAAATATAAAAAGATTTAACATGCGCGCCCGCTTTTGCCAATGTGGGGCACAATCGGTATGCAGTTATGCTTGGGGGCAAGCCAAAATCATGATCTATTGTATAGAAGACGAATGAGAAGAAGGTACAGATCATGATTTGGGTTTGCCCCAAATCTTAACTTCTTACTGGCTGTGGGTTGGGGCCGTTTTTAAAAAATGCCAGGGGGTGTTAAAAACAAGTTTGGCCCAAAATCTGCTTGATCAAGTTCGTGGTTAAAGTGACTAAACTATCAGTCAATGCATCTTTGTTTACCTTGTCTTACCTTTATTTTTGTCCATCCATCCAGCCATTGACTTAGCTACATCTTTCTGGGCAGTTGTCCCAGCTCCCCAATCGCCAATGGCAGCAAATACAACATCTATATGTATAGACAAACTATATTCTACCCTTCGTAATAATGAGACCTCGTCCACACTCTTTATATTAGAGATGATATTTGATCTATCATATATCCAATCATATTGTAAATCTTAGAAAATAGTGACATAACGTTTTTCCGTTGAGGTACAGGGTGGCCAGAAAAAAGTGTATTATGATGCCTTTCAGAATCTAGCAGTAGCATTCGAATGAAAGATGCGTTTGAGATTGTTAAGATCTGCATTCTAACCCAAGCAAATAATTTAATTGAGGAACTAGTCAAAATCATTTTGTAATAAAAGTATACACTCCCTTCCATAAATTTGTCAAAGAGAATCCTCATTAGGACCACGTGTATCTGTTAATGTTTGATGATTTTAACAAATTCATCCGCACGTCCTTCCAGTTGCAAAACTAATGGAGGGGGTGTTCTATTTTGTTATGCTAAGTTTCAACATTAAGCTTTTTACGATTTCAAGGTATTTTACAAACCTGCTCCACTTTGCTCCATGGAGCCCAGTATAACAACCAAGGCAAACACACAAGACATAGACATCTTCATCTGAAATAAAACAAAATATGAATAATTACTTAGGCTGTAACATAAAATACACTGAAAACCAAAATAATCTCCTCAAACATGTCCTTCAGGTTGGATTATTAAAACACAAAACCATTTGGTAGCGCTTCAGTTCAGTTTTTAATACAGTTGAAAAAGGATCCAGACAGGATCCGAAACGTCCTGTTTAGTAAAATAAAGGTTGTGAAAGGAAGAAAAAATAGTTTTATGACAAAATAATCTCTATTTTTTGCCATTATGTTTATTGCTATTGTGTTATTTCTAAAAGTAAACTCCCGTGTTTTTATATAGTTCAAATACTTGATTGTCATTTGTGTTTTTCTCATTTTGAACAGAGACAATAGAATCTTTTGAAACTATTTAAACTTCCGGTGTTTTCGAATTTCTTTAATCCATAAAAAAAGTATTCCCTTACTGACGTTCTAGGTACATAATCGTATCTATATTTTCTTTATTTGACCCTCTTAATTCAACTCATAAAATTTTTCTAATTCCAAAAGTGGACGTACCTTTGTGGGAAGATGACGACACGCTTGCAAACGTATACTCATGCAAAGGATGTGAGCTGGTTTTATAATATGATAGCAATATCGTATCTCTGATCTCAGGGTTATCAAAATGATAATAGAAATACATAACGCAATTACATAATGATAATTACATAATAATAAAATTCAGGACGAGTTTTCCTTTGACCTACTTTTCATGGACGTTGATATAATAGTTATAATTCCCATTCATGTTTTTAAGAGAATTAAATCAAAATGATGAATCCTTATAAATGAACGCCATTTCATATACACTTTTCGTTCATTGTAACGCCATCGGGGTATTTAGGGATATAAGTTTGACGATCGGGAGTTTCCTTTCGATTGCTTCAATGTTCATTTGTACCATCTTGATTCACAAGGTTTCAGCCCTATTTTCACATTGAAGGTGTATTATAACCACCTTGGAAGTAGAAGATGTGTAACTTTATTCCTTAATTACAATGAGATGTGTAACTTCATTCCTAACTTTTAAGTTTACAACTTTGGTTATCTTGCCATGTAGAGTTTAAGCCATACCTAAAGTGATGACAAAATCCACTTATTTTTGGACACCCAGTTGGCAATGGCATCTCCAATGCTCTTCTGGTCCTTGGTCCAGGACCCCCAGTCTCCCATGGCAACAACAAATGCAATGTCTGAGCACAAATTAAAATATTCTTGATACATACGGACAATTTCAAACATCAATTCAACTTCGGTTACTTCGATACCTCGGAACTATTATATAACCTAATTAACAAAATTACTTGAAAGGATAAAACCCCGGGGATAAAACTGACTACTTTGGGATATCTCATCTTCATTGATCTTTTTCTAATTCACCTACATTTGATTGAAACTCATTGTCAAGGTTACTTTTGGATTTAGTGTGACTATTTGCAATGAAGAACCTTGTATCATCCTTTATTGGATTTAAAGGTATTCATCTATGTACGGACTCATACTGATTATGTACTCAGATTCTGTCCTCGTGCATTATATGTACATATTAGTAATGCATTCATGTTTTTCCAATAAAGAATGATACAGGATTCTTTATCCCTTAAACATTGCACCACATGTTTGGATCATAGTAAATAGACCGTTATTTGTGAAAACTAACTAACTTGAATTTCATCTTTACGCAAAATTTGCTAGGCATTTTGACAAGGTCATGTTGCTGATATATTTCTTGATCCACTTGTTATTTTGATATGTATTAATGTACAATTTGTAAAAACTGAATTTTTCTTTTTTGTTACATTTTGGAAGCTAACAGGGTGGCGTACACACAGATAATTTAGTCTTGCATCAAGCCTGTCCATACCTCATATTCTATACCTAATATATAAATACTGGGGAGGGGGGACTTAAAGATTGGGATCATGGTTTGAGCTTTCAATGAGAATCTACAGACATTTTAAACATCACACAAAATTCTTTATTGCTATTTACAATTAAATTTTTATTTTATTTTTGTGCACATTTAAAAATACATTTTACTTTACACATTAAGTGTAAACATCCTCGGTCACATGCTTTTCATTTCTATTTTCATTTATAAATAATTATAAAATCGCTCAATTGAAAAATCTGAGATATTACTCAAATTTTCATCATGAAATAACCTCAAATTACAACTTCATAAATAAATATAAAATTGAATGTTTCAATGATCCAAGATATATCCCAAATCTTAAACCTTATTTCATTTCATATTTTATACTATTCCAGTCTCTCTCTCATAAGTGCTAGTACACTGTTTTGTAACATTAAATTAAATCTAGTCAGTTTTCTCTTAAAACAATGTCACTTTTACTGTTTATGACTACAGTATCCTTAATAATCCATTTTTGCAATGCTCACTGTCCTCATAAAAATGTCCTCTGGAACATGTATATATTTCTAGAACATTCAAGAACATGTTTGTATTTCTGGAATATGTATTCATTTCTAGAACATGTAACGTATATATTTCTAGAACATTCAGGAATATATATGTATGTATTTCTAGAACATGTATATAGTTCTGGAACATGTACGTTTATATTTCTAGAACATGTATATATTTCTTGAACATGTAACTAGAACACATAACTGTATATATCCAGAAAATGTAGATTCTTCATCATTTCCACAAATCCTAATTTCGAAAGTCATCATTGTGCATTTTGTCTCCATTTCCAAATGGTGTAAAGAGTATGATAACTTTGTAGATTTTGTTTACTAACGACGTTGATAGCCCCCCTGGTTCTGGAAGAAAATAAAAAAAATCCATTATTCAATATGGTTGCCATATTGGTTATTTCTCTCAATTATCTTCTAGCTGTAATTAAGAAAAATTGTTAAATGTAAATTGGAAATCATATTTTCAAATTGTCATTCTGAAATAATTGCATGCTTCTATGTATTAATATATATAATGTCAACATAATCTTATACAAATGGATGAAGTTTATTCATCTCCATATTCAATTACTCTTCTTCATAATTTCACAATATTAAAAATAGATGAATATGATGTATAAATTGAAATCGAACTTCATCAGATACTGAAACAGCAACTGCACAAAAATATGAACTTACCCCATATCCTCCCCTGCCATATCCTCCCCCACCATATCCTCCCCCACCCCCATATCCTCCTTGGTTGTATCCTCTCTGTTGATTCTGTTGATAGGCATCACGTTGACCCCTTTGGTTACCTTGCCAATCACTTCCCCTACAATAACAACAAACAATATAATATCAACACGCAAAACATTCATATACATATTAATATTGGGGATGAAATCATGTAAAATTTTAATTGTTTTCATATATAAAATAACCTTGCCAGTAGTGGTGTATATGGTTTGAGAACCAACCAACAATATATGAAAAAGATTGGTGAATTATTTAAATATTTTGTGACTTTTTGAACAACCCAAATGTACGAACATCTCTGTATCATTTATTATGGAACAGGGTTACTTTTTAACAAAATCTATCTTTAAAGGAAGTAGATGGGATAGAGAGTAGTTTCAAAAAAATATTGCCACAAACCTATTGTAGTTTCCTCCGGAGCCGCTACTAGGACATTCCCGAGCCTGATGCCCAGTGTCTCCACATTTAAAACACGCACCTCTGCCACCTCCTCTGCCGCCACCTGGTGAGTAAAATATAAATTTCATTTTCATTAACATATTATGTACTTAGATGAAAACATGCGTGTTAATAGTCCAGTCGTCTCCCTTATATTGTAAATAAAGCATTGACATGCAAAATGTCACCAACTGCCATTTGTTACAGATGCTGAACACAAACCGCCAAACACAATCCACAAAAATGTTGGAGACCATAATAATATATCACTCTTTGTTATCCAGTATGCCATGTTACTGTGAGTCTATCTATGTCTTTAACATAAGATATTAAATTATCGAAAATGGTTATATTAATGTAACAATTTGTTACAGATGCTGAATTCAGAACACCAGTCACAAAAACTGTCACTCTTAAATATGTCGCCACTTTTTGTTGATAGAGAAAATATGTAAACCCCTTGCCCAGGGAACATTTCATTTGGCCATCACTAGCACACAGATATTCAATACCGGGAAATTATAATTAATGAACTAAATCACTATTTACAAAACCTCCATCTCAAATAAAATAATGTGCGTGTACAAAAAAAATGAGTAGACCCAAATTGATTTTCTGTAATTTACTAGGCTGTAAAATTATGGAGTTTGTTGAATGGCTTTTTAAGTGATTTCGTTTCTAAGACATGAGGATGTCTAGTGATATGAAAACAGCTTCAAAGAGGTGTCTTCTTTGTTAAATCTCAGAATAAACAGTTAACACAAAAAACGTCCAATCTCAAATGCTTGACTTCAGGGGCTAATTTTCTGGGAGATTTAATCACATTAATAATATCATGTTCATCTATTCATACAAAGTGTTTCAGACCACGGACAATTAATTTGACAATTTTTTTCGCTTTCGCGGTTAATCGAGTGTGAATACGTGAATAAGATAAAAGTCTTGTTCGCACCTCTTTGGAGCTAACGCAGTTATCGTTATGTTTGGCCTCAAGGGATTGTGGGGCATTAGGCATTTGTAGAACATACAGATCGCATATGGTACATATATGTTGATTAGGCAGATTTCTGTAATGTTGCCACAAGTAAAAATGACACATTTAAAATTGAAAATAGATTGAGACAGAAACTGGCAGGGAATGGAAAATGGAATTTTTCTTTTAATGCAAATACTGGAAAATAATACATTTGTTTGTTTTTATACATTTTAAGAACTACATGTAAATTGTAATAAATATAAAAGCAATATTTAAATAGTTTTTGTGTTTAGATGTGTGTTTCTGTTTTTGTGATGTCACATTTTTCTAGTGTTACATTTTGTGCTAAAAATAGTAATAATTTATTAAAAATTACAAATATTAAAATTTGGAGCACTTCATTCACAAAAATACCTCAATTTAAATAAAATGCAATGAAACCAAGATCTTGACTTGTGGTCTGGTCATAAACTCAAAGTTTCCAGAATCACAATTAAAGTCTTGATATTAATGGCACAAAAAATATGAAGGACTTTCATTATTTATTTAACCCATTTTGAGTGCTACTTCCTGAAGAATTCGATACTGTTTTGAATATCATTAGTTTTGGTTTATCTTGAAATGTTTTGAGACGGTTGAATGCAAAGTTTTGATATTTTCAAGTGTCCTTCATTTCATTTATTTCTTTGAGAGGGATATCCTAAGAACTTTAATTTAACTGAAAATACAGAAGTAGAAATTGGGCTTTATGGATTATAAACCGATACTCTAATTAAGAACACACCTGGATTAATCATTATAAATTTTTATCAATAAATATTTCTTTTAGCAAAACAAATTCATTTTTTATATTTAAATTTGACAATAGGCAATACATTGCATTTTACACTGTTTGTGTACTGAGTCCTCACATCGGTCATAGAAACATCATGTTATAGAAACATGGTACTTTTCTATACTATTATGTTATAGAAACATCATGTTATAGAAACCGAGTAATATATTCTTCCACAAGAATTTGAAAGTGGAGATAAAATTTTGTCCAGCCTCAAACATAGGGTCTTATTCTTTCTGAGGCATAAAACTTTTGTATGAAATTGCTGGTTAGTCGGAGATTGAGCTAGTTGACATGTTTGCATGTTATTTTATCATAAGAAGAAAATCAACTAGAAAATTGAACATGCAAATAGGATTTTTCTACATCTAAATGTTTCCCATCTAATTTGAAAACATATTCATTTATTTCTTTTATTGGCCAAACCAAATGTATGGTCGATTATAAGTACCATACTGAAAATGTACACAAACTGCCCAAAAACAAAAAAAATAATGAATTTGTGTTGAATTTGATACTAACTTACATTATACAGGTAAATAAAATTTGCAAAATGTTCTTACATTTAAACATTGTAGATAAATATGGTCTTGAACTTAAGATACAGATTTTCAAAGTTTCTCACCAAATATTTATCCCCTGGTCCATTTCAAACATATTCAAGTTTACATTCCATCTTCCTTTAATTTAACTGAATTCCATGCCAAAATTGACTCAAAATTATCCGTATATTCAATCTAAAAACCTCAGATCAGACCAAACACTGAACTTTTGAAGAAATTCATTAAAATCCAACAGCTAGCAAGTCAAGTGACACCTCCATTGTTACAAAAAGTTGACATATGAAATCGAACCATCCAATTAAAATCATTCTTAAATAAAACTTACACTGACTTTCCTTAATACAATACAAACCACCTGTCAGATAAGACATACGTAAAATTTACATTTATTTGAAATCAAACTTCAACAAAATATCCATTGGACGAAATAATAACGTTTATTGTATTAATTGTGACTAAGTAAAGAGTAGGAGTAAATTAAACGTCAACTGTTGTAAATTAGACATCAACTATTTGGTCACCACCTACTTACCCCCACTCAGCCGAGACACTCTTTAAAGCCTAACCACATTCCCTTACAAATAATAAAAATGACTGAAACATTTTTTTGTGAATCTTAACTTTCCATTATTAACTCCATTGTAAATCTTGGGTAAGTTATTTTTACTTTTAGGAATGTCTACAGGGTAAGCTTTGTAATGGTTTGTTACAAAAGGCAGTTGATGACTGTTGAGTTCTGATTCTGTCAACAAAAGAAACATTCATAGACCTCACAAGTGTGAAATATAAGACCACACAAGATATTAGTTATAAATATGTAATTATAGTTATTTGCTTAATAAAAAACATTTATCTGAATCTCTGATCATAAACATGTACATTACAATTCTGACAACAAAATGTTCAAGGAAATACTTAAATGAGGTCTACCACATGGATGACAGTTGTACCAAGCTATAGGGCTACAAGGGGTGTGTTAAGCGAGGATGCTTTAAGGGCTGCCAGAGTGGCAATTGAGCATCATCACAGACCATAGAACTTGGGACTCTCCAGGGCTCTTCTACCCACTGGAGAGCCTTCTGGAGTGTGTAATTTGACTGCTAATGTTTAGACAGGAAAACATGATTTCTTGTACCGTTTTTTTAAAATTCTAAAGCAGCGATATTTCTGTAAATACCCGCAAGCAGAGCTGACGCCATTTCCACCGACAACTCCGATATAACCTTTCAAACTGACATACCCTTAATGATAATGTTACTTTTCATTGGTGATTCAGAGTTATCGCAATTAGATAAACTTATCGGCGTTAAACTGCGCTCGCCAATGTTTGTAGGGTATTCTAACAGTTATCGAGCATCGATATTACATGGTTTATCGTTTTACTACTAAAGGCATCCACCATTCAGACTTAAATGTGAAATTATTCTAAAATAAATAACAAGATTGCATTACAAATGCCTCAAATAAACAGTGTTTATAAGTTCATAAATGGAAAATATCAAAAGACAAAAAATCAAGAAAAGCGCAAAATGTCAGTCCATGCCTTTGTTGACAGGCATAAGGTATTTCTGATTTTCAAGTTAAAGAGAAAAGCAAATTCCTTTGAAGGTTAAGTTGAACGCCATTTAGCGAAATCGAAAAATCGTTTATCATCTAGTCTGGAGATCACAAAGGTTTTTCTACAATACCAACTCAGAAATACGGTCTAGCTGGGTAGGTGTTTCTCACAATCATTCTTGTCTGGATACCTCATATCATTTATACTTTACAGACATTGGAATTTTCATCGAGTGTTATAGTAGTAATGGTCAATTAGGCTTTATATTGTTTTCTTTTATAGGGGTTTGTTTTCTTTGGTTTTCCAATGTCTGCTGTATTTATGTCTTATTGCCCTTTACATAAATGAGATACAGGTATATGTAAAATACACACAACATTTTTATGAATATAAAATTTAACAAATGTAATAGTAGTTTCAGATATATACCCGGTTTGTTGAAGAATGTCAGTCTACCGTCTTGACCCCTTCGATACAAACAGTATTGAGAGTGACTGAATCATTATTTGCAGAAAAAGTCTTCAATAAATCAATATTTCTAGTATATATATATTGGACACATCTGTTTTGGTATGAAGGCCTGTACAACTTACACATCTTATCAAAGGTGCCTCCTTAAAGTGTGCGCCTGACCCGGCTACGTATAGCACAGAGTTTATACTGGCGGATTAGACTAGTTCATTTTTTATATGTGTGTGAAAGCTTTCTCTTATTTGCGTTTTTTCGTTTAGTACGGTTTTGTTATAATTGCCGAGGTCATATAACCGGGATAAAACAATGATTATCGTTGACTGCCCACACACAAAACATACGTTGAGTGAACAGTGTTATTACAAACAACAGGCTTTAGAATACAAAGCGTAGTGTGATAATAAGCTGCACACTACCACTGCTGCATGTACATATTACTAATTTACTAGGGCTCCCAAAGAGTGGATAGGGAGGTTGTGTTTGTCACTTTTAAATTTTACATTTCAAAATTGTCATTTCACATGTCATAATTTGTTGGTTTCATTCGTTTAGCCAATCAAAACATTGTAAAATAATAAATTGTCTGTTACGTACAATCAATTTTGTTCAGTTTTGATTAGTTGTCAGAATAAAGTTACGTTCATCTGAATCCATGTATCAAAACAAAAATCCTATTTTCACTTCAAAATACTTCAGTGAGATGAAGGCTCGGAAAGTCACATGCAATAACTTATTGTCGTATTCGTTATTTTATCTTCTCGATAGTAGCATTTAGTCGCACATTTGATGCCAGGTCACCTTGTCGCGTACCTCTTGGGGAACCCCACATTTATGTGTGTACTCATGGAAGTAAATTCCCCGGTGTAGCCGAGAGCCACAAACTTTTCAACAGGTTCGAAATGACCAATTTCTCTCATATATACTCTAAATATTTTATTATTTAGCACCTACAAAGTATTGCTAATAACCATATGTAATTTCAATAAGGAAACTTATCTGGCTACATATAAATTCAATATCAACACTAGCTGTTCTCTCAACACGTCCTGGCTTACCTTGTGGTGACAAACCCTGGATTTTCGCTATTTATAGTTTATCAACACCTGGACGCATGCGCATTTTATACTTTATCGGGCACTTTAACACGGAGGTGGCCTTATTAAAGATTACACTTACCTCTCCCTCCTCCGTAACTGCCGCCAGATGCCCCATAATTCCCAGGGACGTTCCCATACTGCCCACGTCCAGCCTGCCCTCCTCCCATGGCACCCCTAAAGTACATTTGGATGCAATTAGAATATATATATGGTAACAGTTCCACACTGAAACCTGTCTCAGTAAACACAACTTATTGAGACATTAGTGCTTGTAAAGAAGTCATACACTGCATTGAACACTTTCCTGCAGTGAACACTTTCCTGCATTGAACACTTTCCTACAGTGAACATTTTTTAGATGTCAAACAAGTTTTAAATTCCATAACTCAGCCATAACCAGCTGATGGGGAGTCAGGATAAATATTACAACCTAAAATAAAAAATTTCTACAAAGATTAAAAGATGTCACTACTGCATTGAGAATGCATAAGTAGAAACTGACAGCTAAACAATAAATGAAGAAATAATATTCAGAAACTATTTTACAACTGAGAAACGAGGTCAGCATTTCCAAGTTGTTCCAAAACATCATAAATTGCATCACAAATTGACCCCTCCCCTTCAAAAACACACGTGCACATGTATCAATTTTTTAAACAATAGGTATTAACAAAACCCCTCCCCATAATGTAATATTCAATAATATAATGAATTAATTATTTTTGGGGCAAACTTGATCACAATGACCTTGTTCCTAAGTTGGCAATTAGGGCTTGCCACAGGCATCTGTTCCATGTATAGCAGGATACAACTCTTAATACTTTGATCTAAAATTATATGTATCAATAGATGTCTCCACCATGCAGCGGTACAAATGGACCGCTGGAACCTAAAAACCAGGAAACTTGAAACCAGATGATTTCTATTTCTAAACAGTGTAGGCCCTAAGGGCTGGTCCGCTGGTCATTATCAGGTTACTTTTGATAAGGACCAGTTGATTTTTTCACAAGGTATAGAAAAATAATATTGCAACTAATGTAATGCCATTTAGACCAGCAGGTTTCGGATCCTTAGGGCCTTCACTGTTTCTAAAGGCAGTGTTAGTAAAATAATAATTAATGAATTCTTACTTTAGTTATGTACTAATGTTGTAGACTATAACAAGAGAATATATATTTTACCATAATAAACTATATACTGTATGAATAATCAAGTTCAATTAAGACGCATAATTACAATTAAAATATAATACAATTGAAAATAATATAATGTTATGATTAGTTTTTGATTGATTGTTGATTTGCTTAGTATACTAAAATACATACATTTAGTAAATACATGCACTTAGTAAATAAATGCACCTAGTTAATAAATTCCTATAGTAAAAACATGCATATTATAAAAGAAATTCAGAACAGTGGCATTTGCGATTCAACTGATGGCTGATAGATTTACCGCTAACTTATGGCCAACTAATTTAAATATAAATATTACCTACAACTTCATATGGATATTTAAATGAATTTGCCCTGGTTAATCCATCAGCCGATTGCTAGTTAATGAATTCACAAATGCTTGCTCAGTAAGTAAATGCATATAGTACATGTAAATGCAATTCACTTAGTTAGTAAATTGTAAATGAAATTCACTATTAGTTAATAATGTATATAATAAATTATGCACTTAGTAAATAAATGTGCATACTTAATACATGCACTTGGCAAATACATGCTTTTAGTAAATAAATGTACATAGTAAGTAAATACATGCACTTATTTAGTATATACATACATTTGGTAAACACATGCACTTAAACTGTTGAATGTAATTAATGCCATTATTCTTTTAAACTAAAACTATCCAAATATTAAATCATGCATTGGATGCAGTATTTTCTACAATGTTAACATTCTAACCTTTCTTTATTCAGGTTCATGACTGTTAATTATATGAATACTATAAACTATGATAACATGTTCACAAATTCAAAATAAGTACAAAATTCTATGAACTTTACTAAATAAATGAAATAATTGAGAATCAATTCAACAGTGTTTTACAACAAATGTGCAAAAGGCAGACAATTTTTACTACATATGTTAGATGAGTTATTATAAAAGGCTTTTAGAGGGTTAATGAAAAGCTTACATAAATACTAGCAGAGGAAAGATAAATTCTCCAGCAATAATTTTCCTTGGGAGACTGAGAGAGGGATAAGGGAAGAATGGATTATATTATTATTCAAGGAAAAGAGTAAAATAAGCAAGGAATAAATGGTCCATCAAAACATGGAATGAAACTAAATTGTGAAAAGCAAAATGCCTGGAAAATAAGTAAGGAATAAATGGTCATCAAAACATGGAATAAAACTAACTCATGAAAAGTGCAAAAAGTCTTGGTTTTTTTTTGGTTGACAAGGATTCTCTCTTTTACTTTAAAATAGCAAATATTTAAGTAAAAATTAAAGAGAATCTCTAGAGGTCTATTAAGAAAATGGAACCAATAGGGTTGTTGGATGACCCAGTAGACCCTGCTTTTGTAACAGATAATTTATTTTTAAGAGACCACAGACCACGTTAGAAAAAGTGCAAGTAAAAAGAGAAGATTAGTCTAGCTATAATCTAAACTAGAAATAATACACCACAACGCCACAACTTTAAGTGGTAGAAAAGAACATTTCAAATACACCAAGGATTGTACAATACTCTTCAAGCAAATACAGTACACGAAAAAACACCCAAAACAGGTCAAGTACTAATCAGACCTCATCATTCTGTGAGCATTTAGGCATCACATTGATGCTGATCATGCCACTAAGTTTGCTAATGCATGAAGCCCTATGAGCTTGATACAGCTGAGCAAAAGGAAAGTATCATGAGATCTGGTTAGTATCTGTGTATAAGATGCCATTTTATGTGTCACAATAAATTCTATGCATAATCAATTTTGTATCGACTGAGAGGGTGCTGGTTAAAGACCAACAAATTCTTGAAAGTCATTTTCTAAGCATACTGAAGAAGAGGTCAAAATTGATTATGTGTGTAGAATTTATTGAGAATAATATGACACCTAATAAGGTCATCAAAAGTAGCCAAACCCGTAAGGAAAACACCAAGCATGAGTCACAAGAGGCAACATATTAAACACACCAAGCATGAGGTCCATTAGACATAACATTTCATGTACTACCTGATGAATCTATTCATAACAGTGGGGTCCTTGCTACCTTGGTCCCTGTAGCCACTATTCCTCTGGAAACCTAGCTGAGGTCTAGACAGATATGGTACAATATAGTATGGTACAATGAGGTATGGTACATTTCATTATGGTTCAATATAGTATGGTACAATATAGTATGGTAAAATTCATTATGGTACAAACTATGGTACAATTCATTATGGCACAATATAGTATGGTGCAATTCATTATGCTACAATATACAAGTAGAATGGTACAATATAGTATGGTACAATTCAAAATGGAACAATATAGTATGGTATGGTGTAGTATGGTACAATGCATTATGGAACAATATAGTGTTGTTGAATACAATAACATATGGTAATAATATGCAAATTGAGATAACAAATTATTTGGTTATTCATGTAGACAATACGGGCGATTATGAAGATATGAAATTGTTACACTCTCCCCACAATGCTTAATTAACTAAGTACAGTTCTTGTTGCATTACTCTCTTTCGGTTTATCACATGGACACTATAATAATTGTCTTGTTGTAAATTTATTCCATGTTAATAGTGACAAAATGAGACAAAATGATTTTGTAGGGCTGGTGTATATCTCTGACCCCATTCCTTCCCCAAAACAAAGTTTGATAAGCAGCACATAAGTTCTGTACAAGAAACAATCCCAAACATCCCATATAGTCTCCATGAAGAGATTTTAGTTTAGTTGGTATTTCAAATTTTGCACTATCTGAAGATTGTCTATAAGATGATAATAAATAATGTGATCAAATAGTAAAAAAAATAATAAAAAATAATACTAAATATTTACCTATAGCCTCCCCTGCCCCCACCCTGATTTTGCCTGTTCAGTCGGTCATAGTCCTCTGGTTTTAGGGTCTTTTCTGGGAATCTGGAATAAATTTATACATGTGGTACAAGATTTCATTGCCATATTAGGGAGAGTGAATCCGAAACTACTTAAGATAATGTTGTGTTTTTCTATCTATTATGATTCCATTTACCCTGTGTGTGAGAGTCTACTACAACAGGCTCTGAGTGGGAGAAATAAATATAAAGTTTTCAAGCTGATTTGATCTAAATGAGCCCAAAGGTAGCTGTTTCATGGCCTTTAATGAGAGTTTCATTGTGAATTGAATGACAGGCACTTATGAAAGCATAAAATTCAGAGAATGCCATTTTGATTTGGTAGCTTGATTTTGATTGACCATATTTTCAGTATTGTGATAGGTTAACTTAAATAGTGTAAAATAGCTCTCTTTGAAAGAAGCAGAATCAAACGGGGTGGAGATGATGTCCTTGAAACTATAGGGTAACATCGGCTAAGTCAGAGTGTAGATAAAGTCAAAGTCTTGCAAAGGGTTCTTACTTTGCACCTGGCAGAACATCAGACTTGAAGACAAAGTCTTCAGAGTATTGTGGGTCAGCATAATGCACCCTGGAATTATAAATAATAATGCATCCTGTTATAAATAATAATGCACCCTTTTATAAAAAATTAATGCACCTTAGAATAAACAATAATGCACCCTGGAATAAAGAATTTATCACCAGTTTTGTAATGTAAAAAAATATTCACATTAATCAAAATCATAAGCCAATTTTAACTTATATTACCAATTTCTGAGTGTTCAGTAAAACATGTTTAACTGACCAATCGAATTCTGAATTCTGAAGATAATCACTAAATAAGATGTCATGGGGAAACAGTGACATTAAAACGTAAATATAAAATATTTCTAGTTACATATAAGCAATTGGTTACTCACATAATGACCTGGTTGTTAGGTATATCTCTACATCCAGGTACTGGTCCTTCAATTGTTCTGAAAGGTATAAGATATTATATAACAGTGGATGGCTATGTATACATTAAATTAAGTTGAATGATGTTTACTAAGGAAATAACATGTATCTCCAAAAACTGGGACAATAATGGACAAAAACAAATATTTCTACATTTTGCAGTTAAATAATTGATTGAAGGTGATTTAAGAGCAAAATATTTGACTTTATGTAATAATCTCATTATATCACTAAGATATAGTCTTTGACTTACGCGCCTAATGGAATGAACATCTTGTCACACCAAACTGTACCCCTGTGACCCTTCGTCTTTTTGGGGTCCAACTCAACAGGCTGAAATTCCATTACCAACATTTTTTAAATTTGTTTTATTTCATATGAATATTATTTATATAATGCAAGGTATGAATTTTCAAAACAAGTCATTCAAAGCAAGGTAATATTTTTTGTAAAAGTCATATAAATTAAAATAAAAAAACACCATGTTATCAACACTATAAATCATACAGACATTTTTAACCCCGGCAGTTCATTCAAATTTTAGAAAAAAACATAAAATATATACGTAAAACCATAGATAATTCTGGAACTAAATCACTTACTGTTGTGCTGCTTTTATGTAAATCTTCACCCTCGTAAACTGCTTCGACAAACGAGTGGCTGGGGTGATGCCTCCCAAAAAACAAACGATCCGCACCTCTTATGTTTCGCCCAACTGAAAGAAATTAATTGTAAACTGCATTTTGTTTTAAAACATATTGGAGACCATGAAGAAAAGAATAACACTGATAAATGCTCATAAAGGAAGCACATTCAATTGAAGTACCAAAAACTAAACAAGACACAATTTGATAAATTTCATACTTTTTCAATCAAAAATGCCCTACCAGGCATTTACATGCAAAATGTCATCACTGTTACAGACGCCTACTGTCGACTACCAAATGTCAAACACCTAGCACAGGCACCGGCACTGACAACCGATCACTGTCCAGTAAAAGTTGGAGACATAGACGATATCCTATGATTTATGAGTGATATGATTTTTATCCACGAATGGATATGATATCTGCACGAGCGAGTGGCAAAATCCATAATTAATAGCATACGTCGCCGTATGTCATGGCTTAAACATAGTATGCTATGGTTAAGTGCAAACTTATGAAAAATATCATATTTTACCACTGATTACAAAACTACCGTTTTTATTTTCACATGTTATCCTATGAATATCATGCTAACTATGGAATAATTAACAATATGTCGCCACTTTTGGTGATCACATTAAAGTTTTTCTAAAAATACATAACGTTACTAACCTTCAGCTGACGTGAGATCAGGGTAAACTGTATCCAATGCTCTCCGTAACCTTTCCTCTTCAACAAAGGGCAACAATGCAACCCCCTGCCAGGCATACTTCTTGCCGTTCAAGTCAATCTTGAAGTCTATTGGATAGAAGTCTATGATCGGAGATTCCTAAAAAACAGATTAAAAAAACATAATTTACAGCTAAATTAAACTGTACGTCTGAAATTGCTTCCAGTCAGGGTGTTTCATATGTATGCACCCCCCTCCCCATAAACTCATACATGTAGTATTACCCCTGTATACATTCATACATATCATGTTATATATCATTTTGTTCTTTATGGAAAGTTACAAAAAAGTTCCAGAATCCAGTGGTGTCCCTGCAAAAGATACAACATATCAAAGTATGTGGGTGTGGGTCATTTAGAGGGGAATTTCTAGTCATTTCTAGTCATACTGTTTAAGTGGTTTCTCCCAGTCAAGGACAGTCAAGGAAATTCTGGATGTAGTCAATCCTCTCTCAAGTCCAACTCCAAATTTTAATAGATACGGCTCATCACTTATAAAGCTTATATTAGTCCCAGTGGGATTTGAGTTATTGGCAAAAATCTTAAACCTTGACTGTTCTCGAAAAGGCAATAAGCTGACATATATTATTTTTTACATTTTCATACAATTGACAACTATTTCTATTTTTTTGGAACTATTTCTTTAGATGTAGTTAAAACTTTATGACAAAACGTGAGAGCCATTTTGCACTACATTAGGCGAAGTAATTCATTGTGCTTCAAAGGAATATATAGCCCGCATGGCCTTTTTATAGTTGATATTTGTCAGGTAAATAAAAAAGTTTGAATAGCAAACAAAAAGAATAATTCAGAATACATTATTTCAAAGGTTGCTAACGAAACATTACACATAAAATGCAAGTGGAAAAGAAATAAATCTGATCAGAAGAGATGACATTATGAATTAATTCTCTCAAAAAATTGTAGGTAAGAAAATAAAAGTGAATTATTTCAATTACTTTCAATAATTATCAAACAATAAAGCTATACCGAACTGTAGTTTAAGCTGGAGAAGAGGCCAAATGAATTTCCATAGCTCCATTGTTTGAAGTGTTTACGATATGGTTTACATGTTTGGTATTCTCTGGATTTAATATTTGGGCACAATTGAATGTACAGTAGATTAATTAAACATGAGATATTCTTGTTTTTTAATTTACGACCTAACTATCAAAGTTTTCTTTATTTATAAAATTTCCAACAATGAGTCACTCCACCCTATGACTCAAAATGTAATAAAAGGGGAATCCCAATAATAAATCAAAAATCTCAATCAAAGTCAAATTGTGAAATTTCAGATTTGTCCACTGCATACATTGTTCTATATTTTAGGTGTTTTTCATATCAATGCACTGAATAAGCCCTTATCTAGAAAGTGTTGTAATTATTGGGATGTAAGGCCCCTATTTTGAGCCTAATTACTTGGCTTAATGTGCATAATTAGAATCAAATGACAGCAGGGCAGTGTTATCTGTTATCTGTTTGTTATCTTGTTTTTAGCAAAAATAGCATCCCTTTTATTATGTTGACTACAAAGCATGTGATATTTCCCCATACAACACAATTCATTAAGATAAGAATGTCAACCTCTGAAATGTTGATATTTTTGCACACTTTTTTGAGGTCACCTGACCATGACGCATCATGTTCCAAGTTATTCTGGCACTTAATCGAAAAGTTGTTGTTGCAAACTACTACAGATGCTGAACCAAAGTAGAAATATACATTTGTTCCACATTCACACACATTCCATTGCCACGTAAATATTTTTAATTGATTGAAGTTCACAAAAAAAAACTCTCGAGAAAAGAGCACTGCAATATTATCCATTAGTATTACAAGATATTGATTGAAATGCATTTGTGAAACCGTATATCGATAACTGAAAATGTTAACCCAATAATATTTTGGCCTTACAGCATTACATTCGGGTTAAAAGTTTTAATCCCAAAACACTGGCAAATTGTTTCAACCACACACGTCATGTCACATCACGTAAAATTTCAGACATGTGCTGACTTTATATCCCCGATATCATAATAAAATGAACTTTTGGAATTGTTGATGGTTCACCATTGTAAAGTGTGGCCTTCAAACAGTATGATAGCATAAATATATCTACATCGAGTAAAATGGTTTGAGAACAACTTTAAACATAATGTATTTTGTTACTTTTAGGTCATGGGTGTGACAATAGAACAATGGCGAAGTGCTATAGGCAACTTCCACCCACATGGCCCTGCCAACTCTAGTTTTGTAATAGCTGAGGCCCTGAGGAACAATTCCCAATTGCTATACCATACCTAGTCCTTTACACATAAGTGTACTTTGTTACTTTTAGGCCATGGGTGTGACAATAGAGCAATGGCGAAGTGCTATAGACAACTTTCACCCACATGGCCCCACCAACTCTAGTTTTGTAATAGCTGAGGCCCTGAGGAACAATTCCCAATTGCTATACCATACCTAGTCCTTTACACATAAGTGTACTTTGTTACTTTTAGGCCATGGGTGTGACAATAGAGCAATGGCGAAGTGCTATAGGCAACTTCCACCCAAATGGGCCCGCCAACTCTAGTTTTGTAATAGCTGAGGCCCTTAGGAATGATCCGCAATTGTTGCTAGTTATCACCTTCCTTTTGCTGATAGGGGGAGTTGAATCTAATCCAGGACCTACGACCTCAGATAGTGAGACACCAGGTGAGGTTATGGTAAAGAGATAAAAATACTCAAAGGTATAAATGGTGTACATTACTCACTGTTGAAGTAACAGATGAAAAAAATGTTCCTATGATAAACTAATTTTTTGAATATCTAGTATCTGATTTTGAAAGACTAAGAATGGCAGAAAACAGAAGAGGAGCAGAAAATAATCTTGGTATGAACTGGCAATTGCGTTTAATTTTGGTATTTCATGTTTATGTTCTGCAGAGACTACTGCTGATGCAATGTATCTGATGGGGCAGAGAATAACTGCATGTGATCAGAAGACAGAGCTCAAAAAGCAAGCTGGGTACATGTATGAATTGGGATTAGCTTATGCCAAACTGGCATGTGAAACATCAGATCATTGGCAGTTCATCTATGCAACAGCACTCTTCAATGCAGCACTACAACGCATTGAGAAAAAACCAAAGACTGTTGGAGACCATGATGATGAAATAATTGTTAAAGGTAAACTTATAATTGTAAAATCTATAAATGACCAGTTGCAACGAATAGAGACTGACTTTCTTAAAACAGTATCTAAAGTCAACAATGAATCAACTGCAGACTGTACAGAAAGGTACAAGAATCATCTAGATCAAGTAAGGACATATTCTACTGATACCATGAATAAGATTCATAAGAATGACATGCAGGTTGATAGTGTTACATCTGAAATGAGTAATGAATGTGAAGACAGGCTAATAGTAAACAGCAAAGAGTTCTATAATAACCTTACAAGTCAGATAAAAGAGTTTCATGGCTTAATATTTGATGAATGTGTGAAAGTACTAGGTGCTCCAATGTGTAGGTTTGTGTTTCTAGGGTTAGGTTCACTGGCTAGAAAGGAGGTCACTGCATGGTCTGATCTTGAGTCAGCAATCATTTATGACCCAAATGGCAAATCACCTTCAGAAATTGAAGAGATCAAACAGTATTTCAGGGTTCTTGTGCATTATTTTCACATGAAAATCATCAATTTGGGTGAAACTCGTTTAAATGTGCTAGATATCCCTGTGCTCTGTGATTTTAATTCAAAACTCAGTCCAAATTTAAAAGACAATAATTTCTATGACACCTTCACGAAACAAGGACTTGCCTTTGATGGCACTCTACCTAAAGCAAGTAAGACACCTCTTGGCAGAAAGTCCACCAGTGTTCCGAATGTAAAATCTGATGAACTAGAGCTACTTATGACACTTGAAGAAATGGCTAAATGTCAGTTGACAGATATTTCAATTAAAGAAGGGTATCACCTTAGTGATGTGCTCCTTACATCTACTATTATTAAAGGAGACAAATCTCTTTGGGAAATGTACAATGAAAGGGTCCATAATACAATTGAATCCGAGTCATTATCTAGTCCAAGTATCTCGATAGGTCAAGAACGTGGACATGTCACATTAAATGAAGACTTAAAAAATTTTGACAATAATCCTTTAACACCCGAGTCATTGCAAAAACAAATGCGCACAAAACACACCATCTACAGATTTGCAACAATATCAATCAACATTCTCAAGTTGATATATCACTGTCAATCCTTTGGCCCGCTTGATATTTTAGAGGAGCTGGAACAGAAACAGGCTCTGACTAAGAGAGCCAAGAAAGATTTACAGGTAATGGTTTGTCTCGCCACAAATATGAGGCACCTAGTATACAGCAGATTCGACCAGCAAGAAGAGATGGTATCCTTCCTGGCTCCAAATCCTAGTCAGTTGATTTCAGTTAACACAGAACTTGTATCTGTAAGGGATTTCGATGCAATATACAGGTTCTGTGCTACATTATTCCCTTGGTCTGAATTTCTAAAAACACACTCCAAAGATCTAGCAAAATGTAAACATCTACCTAGATATATTGATAATAGTGATAATATAAAGGGACAACTCCATGAAGAAATGCTATTCACAGACAAAGCACTCAAAGCTTATTTATGTGAAGAAGAGAGGCTCCTCTTACTTGAAGGGAAAGAAAATCAAATCAAATGCAGCAATGTAAAACACAGTATAGGCAAGCTTTATGAATCCCAGGGAATGTATGATCTGTCAATGAAATACCATGAACAAAGCCTCACAATGTACAAACAGATATTTGGAGATAAGCCATATCATGGAATAGCACAATCATATTATGGTATTGGTAAAGCATATAAAGGAAAATGTGATTATACCAATGCAATCAAATACTATGAACAAAGTTTGACTATGATGAACCATGTGCACGAGAATCAACCAAATTCAGTAATAGCAAACATATTAAGAAGCATTGGAGATGTATATAACAGGATAAACAAATATAACATGGCAATACAATTCCATGAGCAAAGTCTAAATATGTACAACAAATTATTTGGGGACAAAGCACATTCAGGGGTAGCAAATACAATCAGGA